GAATATTCAAGAGCTCCCTCAGATTGTGTGTAACCTTAGATTGTGCTCACTTTTTCTTGGAGTTTTCTTCAGGAGAATTTAAAGAGAGCTCTGATGGGGAGCTGTTGATAGCAGGCAAACATGAACTTATTGCTGGTATGTGTGTAGGAAAAAGTTATGCATGTGTACAGAACAGCTATTTGAATATAAGTATTCTTTTTCTCATGGATTCCTATATTTAAAAGTTTCTTGCCCATAGCCAGAAAATCCACCTTTTCCTGCTAGAAAAATAGCAAGGATATGCCCTTCCCTTTCCTTGTTTAAAAAAATCTTCCTCCACAGTCTTTAACATAGGACAGGATTATCCAGTACTTTATTTCATGGAACTTTTCATTGATTGAAGGAAACAACTTTGGTTTGGAATTTGGATTTGGGCTTTGTTTTATTATGGTTTTGTATTGTTTTTTTTGTTGTGTTTTGGGTTTTTTGTTTGTTTGTTTGTGTATTTTTTGTGTGTGTGGTTGTTTGTTTGTTTGTTTGTTTGTTTTTTTTGTGTGTGTTTGGTTTGGTTTTTTCTTGTTTTTGTTTTTGTTTTTCTGGTGGATAGACCCAACTTCAAATAGTGAGGTAACATGAAAAAATGTAACAAAGTTAGAAAATTACACTCTTGTTAATCAGTTAAAAATGAGTGTAAAGCAAAAAAAAGAGTAATTTAACAGTATACAATAAACATAACAAAAATGTAAATCAAAAGGGAAAGACACAAGTAGATCCAGTAATAAGAAATACTTCCGTACTCTTTATGTAATTATATTTATGAGAGTAAGGGGAAAAAGAAAACAGAAAGTTGCCAGGCAACCATCCATCTGCAGCCAAATCTTCCTCCAAATTTCCAGTAATTCTCTGGTTAGATAAGGAAAATTCACTTTAGTTCATCCAGATGATCTATCAATTTTGAGCGTGTTTAAAAATGTATGGTGTCCCAGTTCCTTTTAAACAAGAAAGAAAGGCTGAGAAAAGCAAAATACAGGTAAGTATAACTGACATGGAACTGGCCTGGAAGACTCAACATTGTAAGAATATTTGCCCAACTATAATTCAAACTCCAGATTTGGGATCACCAGTATAACAAAACTATCTCAGTTCTTTCCCAGGCATTATGGTTAACACAGGACTAAAAAAGACATCTTCAGTTGCCATCTACAAGTACTTTTTTTTCCTTACTACTCCATCTTCTCCCTTGTGATTTTCCTTATCAGTGTAGCAATATAGTTAGCTGAAATATGGAGAATTACCACTTTACTTACCCCAGCAATATGAGACCTTCCAAGCAATAAAAAGAACTATTAGTGCGTCGTGGAGGAAAGAGGGAGGAGTGAAATATAACTTCTTTTTTAAACTTGCTTTTTTTAATAGAATTGTGGCTAGTACTGTTCCAAAAGATCAGAGGAAAATTATTGTAAACCTTAATTTAGAAATGCTATATTTGTGTGTGTATGTATATATATATATGAAAATACTGTTAGCTGTTGCATCAGTAGTTGTTTTATTTGTATGTTCTTTAATATTGATCTTTTTTGAACTAATGTGTAGGCTTATTTCCTTAAATTTGAAATCTGAAAGCTCTGTTACAGTCACTGCTGCTGAAGTATAGTGGTTTTTGAATTAACCCAGAGCTTATTCAAACATACGTTGTTTAGACTCGAGCATTTTTACAAATAATAAAAAATTATAAATATTTTCAATTTTTTACATTGAATTTCTGTGTTGCTATTATTAGGAATTTATCAAATTAATCAGTGTAGTCTTGTTTTACAGGGACAAGATGGGTCATTTTGAGACGTTTTTTCTTTTTTTGGTAATCTTTGTAAGCCTTTAGTTTTCATCGGAGTCTGCAGACTTTAATATTGAACTTTATACACAACATTAATGCTCTTTGGCAAACCTTTCCCTTCTGAAAGTCTGAGAAGTTAGGTACCTTGTACAATATATCTCCTTCCATACAGCTTTCTGTCATGCATACTTATAATTGACTTGCAAAATCAAATTTTTTCTTGATGAGGTGAAAAGCATCAGGGAAGTGAATATTTACTTAATTTCAAGTAGATTTTTTAAATTAACTTTTATTGTGATGCATTTTAAAAGTGGTTGTGCTAACTACTCTATATGCCTTTTTAAATAGATATTATGAACATAGTATAGATTTTATTTAATAATTGGTAGATATAATAGGCATAAACATTTTTACAAAATTAAGATAATGTGATTGCTGCCCTTGGATTACAGTTTTCAAAATGCTATTTTGATGGCTAAAGGAAAACAGCTCTCCACCATAGGATGGTTGTCCTTGTAAACAAAAATATATAAATGATATGTGAGGAGATGACCTGGAATGGAATGTCAGAGGCAGAAGCATATCTCCACAGACAGGGAATAAGCAAGGTCTGAGATTACAAGCCAAGAAGGCCAAATATGCTTGTTTTTATTCCATGCAATGGAATAAAGTGTAAAATATTCAGGGGAGAAATTCTGGGGAAAATGGTTAAAATGCTACTGTAATTTGCTATTGAGCAGAAGGAATATCCATGGTCAGAAGAAGCAAAGTTTGCTTCAGGGCTGTGGATAGCCTTTTCAGAAGATGGAAGGACAATAAATTTCTTGGCTCTAATTCTCTTCTAGATATTAGTAGGAACCAAAGTAATCCCAGATGGGAAAGTATTTATTTCTCAGTCCACCTGATGGCAAACAAGATGGACATTATTCTTTATACTGTCCACTGAGTAATGGCTCTAAAAAAAAGGTGACCCCCTAGCCATTTTCAGTGTCTTTAGCAAAAAGCATTTTCTGTTAACTGTCCACAATCATAGTTCCAGGTCCAGGTGGGTATGTCCTGTCATTCCAGTCCTATCTCTAAATTTTGTTTTCAGTAGGCAATGTATTTTGGAAATTTGCTGTTAGCATGATAGAAATATGTAAGGACACTAATTGTTATCCTTCTTCTAGGCATCCAGTGAATTTCTGGGAGCATCCATTGATTCAGCTAACATAGGTTCTGAGGCTCACTTCATTTATGCATCTCCTGCTATCACATACATGGGAAAGGCAGTTGTGAAAGCAGTGTATATCTGTATATTAGGGGCATCATCCCTCATCCAGTTTTATCATCACAAATAATGCAATTTTTCTACAGCAGGCTCATGATTTTCCTCCCTTCTTCCATAATTGACAATTTCTTCCCTTTTACCTCTTTCCTTTCTGACCTCCCAAGAGCCTTGGAGAAAGTGTGGTGGGCTTTAGTAACAAATCCTGGGATCAGGGTAGCGCTGACTCTCTGGTGGTATGCTATCCATGCAATCTGTCCTATGTAGTCCTCATAGCTTTGTGTCTTCACATGATATAGGACCAGCCGCTTTGGAATAGAGGTCTTAGCTCTTAACTGAAATGAGAAATTAAGTGCAACAGGTGTAAAGAGCTTCTGGATATAAAAGGGAGGCCATAACCTCAAGGACCTGTAAGTTTATTTCTGTGGAAACATTGTCAAACATGACATAGATCTGCAGTGAGAAGCCAAGCAGTAAGAAAAACTGAAACTCACAGGTATAGATCAAAAGAGCATGGAGGAAGGACATTAGTGAGGTACCACCCAAATAGGACACCCACACTTACATCTGAGGATAACTAATAAATGGGTTGAGATATGGGAAAGATTTTCTTTCTCACAGAAGAGCTAGTTAGTACTGTGAACTTAAGTGAACGGTATCTTTGGATCATAGAGGTTGCCAAAATCAATATTTGAAAGCTGCTTATCTTTAATCTCATGTAAACAAATGAAAGATCTCTTTTCCTTTTCTCAGGGCCTCAGGCAGCAAAGATTGTCCTTGCTACCATGAAATATTTTATAGTGGATCTTAAAAAATACATGAGTCAAATGGTTATCAACAAAATGTGTATTTCCTTTATCATATTAACTTGGGTTCTGTTTTTTAATCATAGGACTGGTTCTGGACAGTTTCTCCTAGATATTCAAGAAAGGGGCATCTACAGAATGAATCTCTTAAATGGCTTAGTTCAGCATAGAAAAAGGCCTTTCCCTGGAGTCCTTGTCAAACTTAAGGGTTGAAATATGACTTCTGGAATATTCCTGGTGCTGTCATAACTTTGCTTCTATTTCAGGACATCTACACCACCACATAACTTGATAAGGTCTCATGAAAGCTGCAGATTTGACTCGCTGGCCCAAAAGGATAGCTATGGACTTTTATAGAGCCAGATCTCCTTACACTTTTCACCTGGTTCTCCTTACCTGTGACCAAAATAGGGGAGGAAAAGGTTTTCTAAAGAATTTTCCCAAGAGATAGTATTGTATTGCTGCTGTGTTTCCTAAACCTATTTCCTATTTATTTTGAGAAGGACTGGCTCATTGGCCTGCAAGACACCTGAGGGATCACCTAAGAGATGGGCATGCTGCATCACAAACGTTTGGGTTTGGTAGCACTAAATAGGTGCAGGGGTTTGATCTTGGTGTTTGCTGAAGGCACGTAAGGCAATGCATTCTGTGGCCTGGGGGTGATCCACCTTGAGCCCAGCTCCTCATTTTACAACCATGTTGCCTGTGGAGACACTTTAAGTCTCAATTTTGCCTCTGCAGGCCAGTTGGTATATACCAAAACTAAACCTGTAAAGCAATGTGCAAAACAGATGACTTAGAGCCTGAGTTCAAAGTCAAGACATATTTAACATGAACTATTAATACAGACAGAAAATCAGAGAAGAAATAGTGGTGCAGGTAGCACTGTAGTTATGACAGACACATTCTTCATATTCTTATATTTATGCTTTGCATTATTATATAAATAAGCAATTTTTTCAGCTCTGTATTTGATTAGGTTGTGTATTTGCTTTGGTATGTTACCAAAGACTGCATAAACTACAAGGCTGCCAATTATAGTTATAAAAAGTTGCAGCAGAATGAAAATATTAGTGCTTTGGAGATTTCATAACTGTCTGTTTCCCTTCCATAGCTGTTTTCTGCTGGAAAAATCACAGACACTAGAGTAGCTGAGCTGAAGGGAAAGTACACCCTGCTGCATAAGACTGTGATAAGGTACAATATTCTTTTTTAGACTTTAAGTAGCCAAAGCATTACATATTTAAAGTAATTATCTACTCATCCTGAGGCCTAATTATCATTTAAGGCTTTCTTACAGTGATTGTTTATAAAGAGGAACACAAAGTTGAAAAACAATGTTTAGTAGGAACTTTCAAGGTAATTTGGGATGTCTAAATACTTATTCAGACAATGTCTTTGTTTTTAATATAAACATAATGATAATGGCAATGGAGGGAAGCACAAACTGCAGCTTTTAGAAGAAAAATATGGATGTTTTATACTGTAAAATATAGAATAGAATTCACATAGAAGTTTGATACCATAAATACTGTGCACAAAAAGCATGAACATTTTTGTGGTAGATTACATCTCTCATTCTTTCCATGGTGCTCACGGGAGTGTGAAATTGCCATACTTCTGTAAGAAAGTCTATTGGAGAGAATCATGTCACATTTTTCTTTTAGATGTAGTCATGTGTTGAAGCAAAACACCAATGCATGAACAAGTACTAACTCCCACAAATAAGTTTCTCTTATTGCTGAAAGTAAGCAAGGAAAATCAGTGACCAAAAATTGATCATGAACTCCAGTGTATTTCAAGGACATTTCAGACATCAAAAGTGGGACTCACTCGTCCATATGTTAACACCAGTAGTTATGCACATCTGAAGTAAGTATTGAGTCTCTTAGCAGTCCATAGAAAGAAATAGGGACCACATAGTTCCTCCTTATACGGCCATCTGAAAGCGTTTGGTTTTCTCCATTGGCTATAAAGAGAGTTCTGATGATAGGTTCACTATGTGTGTATACATTTTTCCTGCAATGAACCATTAATAGAATCAATACCACTTTTTAATTTTCAGTTCTTCAACCTTACATGTGCAGTGCAGTTCTGTGGATCTTATTTTTTTTTCACTTATTACAGTTGCATTTAATACCTTTCCTAATTAATCCCTGTCCGTCCCAGTGCTGTTACAATGCTATGTGGTAACAAAAGGCACTGGATGAGGTCTTCAAGCTACATGTGTTTCTTGCCTTTATTTGCAAAGATCTCAAGGAGGAAGTCTTACACATCTTAAGCAGTGTAGAACCTTGTGACAGCTATGCCAAATGATTGCAGCCGATGTCTCTGATATACAATACAGATTTATCTTATATGATGAGTACAACTAGTCTGTATGGAGATAATGTCAAATGCTGATGCTAAGGTACACAGAGTTGTAAGTGTACAGTGTGGTCCTCTGTTTAGTGGTAAACAGTCCTTTATTTCTTGGTTTCAGTTTTGCACAATTTGGTATTCTGAAAAGCAGAGGGATGTCGGCTGGCAGATAACATCTTTGATACAGTTCTTCAAAGTGTTATGTACTTCTGAATGTTCACTGCACAGCTGAAATTCTGAGAACAGGCTGTCAACCTGTTCTGGTGCTGTCTCCCCCAGCCACTCTACAGTGAGGCTGCACCTAAAGCAGATGTATCAGAGTTAGTATTTGGCCCCTGAAAAGCCAAATCACACAATCATGTGGCCCAATTGTAAATTTTTATCTCAATTAAGGAATTTGATATGAATATTCTGATACACCAAGCTGTAAGAAGGCCAAGTAATAATGACAGTTCATTGACAGTTTGGGAATCTTATCTTCTTAAGCCTCTGTTATATTATTAATAACTTCATAAATTCAAAAGCTGCCACATCAGACCTGGCAAGCTTATTTTTACACTCGTGTGATTCTAGATGTGTATATTGTGTAGATGTCCAGCTGTCTCCATTGTCTTCAGTTAAATTTAAGCCTTCACATGAAAAAATACTGTTGGCAATTGTAGTGGGCAAGATCTGGTCTAGATTAAGGTTCAATTTTGTTTCTATTTTTATTTTTTTTATTAGCTTGAAAAACAAATCAATACTAAGAATGTTGTTTTTATGGAAGAAGTAATTTGTTTATGTATTTTATGCAAAATTTATATTTTACATAAGAGTTGTATTTTAAATGGATGTATATAACTGCAATCAATTGCATTTTTTCCTGAAACAGCATACATTCTGCTGGACTTAAAGAAGATCTGAATATTGTAAAGGAACTTGAGTCAGTAAGTGAATTTGTTTTCCCCTTAAGAAGTTACTGTGTAAATACATTGCACATGAAGTTATGTGTTCGTGTTAAAGGCACACTCCTGTTTCCTGTTGAAGTCTGTGGTTTTCTTACTTTCTGGTTTAAAAAAGGAAGTGGTTATCTGAGTAGAAGTGTTACACAAACCAAAACTTTTTCTTCTATATTATTTCAGCTGTTTGTGCAGTATAGTTAGTTGTACATTTTGTGGTTTTATAGTTACCATGTCAATTTTTTCAGTGTGATACATAATTCTGATTTTGCTGCTAAGCTATAAATGTAATCATTGAGCCAAATTTTTATATATGGTTTTCGTCAATATGGGAGGTTCTAAATTCCTTTGTTTTAAAAAGTTGCATTGAATTTTAACTTAGAAAAAGCAAGTGATATTTTACTCTTCCACATAATTTTTGACTAATGTTAGTATACCATTATACAAATGTTACAAGGTAATAATATGTAGAAGGCATACACAATGATTTCTACAGCATGAAGAATAGGTTTATATTGGTTTATAGGTTGTGCATTTTATATGAATTTTCATATTGTAGTTCCCTTTAAGACTTCTTCATAATAATCAATGTATTTTCCTAACAACCTTTAAGATCTGTTATTCAGCTATCATCACATAGGTTCCTAAGTATATTACGGGTACAAATTTCCTAATACTGACTGAATATTAGTTTGTTGTTTCTGTGAAGATAAACATCACAGAAATAGATAATTCAGATAATTGATTATGTAAGTTTCCGCAGAAGTCTACAAATGTGTTTGTAGCTTGTGTGTCATTAAATGAGTTACTTCAGATACTGGTAACACTACAGCAATAGCAACATGCAGTTCCACGTTGGGTAGGTGTCCTGGTATTCACCAAGAACTTAAAGGTGTAATGCAGGCCAGACTGGGCCTTGTTCTGGTGAATAGCCTCCTGTTATTGGTCCCCACGCTGATTCAGATCTAGCTTTCAGTGCTTCTTAGGATAAAACAGCTTCCCTGTCTCTTCACTGATTCCAGGAGGTGCTAGACAAATAAATTAGATCAACTAATTGCCTTTCATCTGGTTAAAATTACATGACACGAATCCCACTCCAAATCTAGGTATGCAGAAAAAAAACCCTCACATCAGATTCTGCTGCTCTCATGGCTTCATAGGATAATTCAGGTTTGAACAGACCATAGGAGGTCTCTTGCCCAACCTTCTGTTCAAAGGCAGGGTTAACTAGGAGGTCAGAACAGATTATTCAGGACTTATCATAGAATCATAGAATCCTTTAGGTTGGAAGGGACCTCCAAGATCATCAAGTCCAACTATTGAGCCATTAGGGCTCTAAAGTCCTCTGCTAACACAGATCAGAATCTGTCAGGGTTGGACGGGACCACAAGGATCACCCAGTTCCAACCCCTCTGCCATGAGCAGGGACACCTCCCACTAGATCAGGCTGCCCAGAGCCGCCTCCAGCCTGGCCTTAAAGACCCCCAGGGATGGGGCCTCAACCACCTCCCTGGGCAACCCATTCCAGGGTCTCACCACTCTCATGGTGAAGAACTTCTTCCTCACATCCAGCCTGAATCTGCCCATTTCCAGCTTTGCCCCATTCCCCCTAGCCCTGTCGTTACTCGATATCCTAGCAAGTCCCTCCCCAGCTTTCTTGTAGGCCCCCCTAAGATACTGGAAGGCCACAATAAGGTCACCTCGGAGCCTTCTCTTCTCCAGACTGAACAGCCCCAACTCTCTCAGTCTGTTCTCATAGGAGAGCTGCTCCAGCCCTTGGATCATTCTCGTGGCCCTTCTCTGGACACGCTCCAGCAGGTCCACATCCCTCTTGTAATGGGGGCTCCAGAACTGGATGCAGTACTGCAGGTGGGGTCTCACCAGAGCAGAGTCGAGGGGGAGAATCACCTCCCTCGACCTGCTGGCCACGACTTAATCTCATTCCAACTTGAAAACCTTGAATTAAACATTATAGATAGGCAAAGAAGTATGAATACAAATCTCATGCTTCTCATTGCCTAGTTGTAAGTTTTTGTATTTAATGTAGTTTACAGGAATCTGAGATCCAGCTGTTGTAAGAAGCCAAACGGCTTAGTGTAGAACTGGAAGAGCAACAACATGAACTGGAAAAAATGGAACAGTTCCCTGAAGAGTATTCCAATGAAGTTTCCCAAATAAGGCAACAACTTCTTAGCTGCCAAAATGAATACAATGCCATTACAGAACGAGAATATGAAATTCAGTTCAAGATGGAATGGTAGGTGATAATGGTCAAACGCTGCTCGTTTTATCATAGTTCATCTAGTAAGACAATAACAGAATATCATTCAATCTCCTTTCCATTTTACATGGACACATTTCCAATGGCTTTTGTTGAACAAATTGCTACAAAATTTCCCTAGTAACAGCACATTTCAGCAATGAATTAAATTATCCTGGTGCAAGATTTGTCGATCATTTTAGTTTTGGGACATCCTCTGGTGTCCTTTGAAATGCTGTTTAGAATTTATTACATTCCATAATTAATGTTTATGTAGACAAAGTTAATAGGAACAATTCTAGTCTAGTACATCTTTAATAAAAATGATTAAAGTGTCTCAGAGACCTGATGACTGGGATTTTATGGAAACAATGTCATAAATAAACGCAGTACTATTTTTAGCTTCAGAAGCACAGTGTATTTTTAAGTTTTTCTTTTCAGGTGTTTAAAGGAGAAGTAGTTGTGTATTCTTATGTCAGAATAGTGAAAAGTTATCTGTGAAGTAAATGAGTACTTGACATTTCTATAAAAGGAAAAGAGTCCAGAATAAGACTGATATTGTATATAGTTTAATTATATGCGTATGTAAGTTAGTTGTACTTGAAGCTTGTGTGGTAAAATTACAAGCAGGACTATTGCATTTTTAAAAATATATACCTATGTAGATGAACTTATATTTTTATTTTACTTGCTATTTTTACTTATCTTCAATAGCTGTATTGGAGTAGGTGTGTAGAAATACAAATAAATAATGTCAGCAGCTCAGCACTTAAAGCTATTTTTCTGCAAGGAGAGCAGGAACATTATATAAACTGCATAGAGTGGGTTTTTCTAGCAGTTCTTTGTTGATTTTTCTTTTCAGAGCCAAGTGTTTGCTCTAAGAGAGAAAGAAACTTGAGAAAGAGGCAAATTGAGAGTCGGAGAAATGAAGAAAAATGGAAAGCATCTGGAAAAAATTACTTACTATGACATATCTAAGCAACATGAAGTTTCCTGAAATAATTATTAAGTGCAATTTCCGAGGAGTCCAGAAATCAGCCCTTCAAAATATCATGCTTTTTACTCATTTGTCCTCATATCTTACAAACAGATTTTACTGACTTTTGCATCACTTTTCCAAAAAGTGACTGGGTCTTATATGTTTGGGGGTTAGTTACTCTTACTTTATTTTCTACCTCTAGCCAAAAGGAGATTTTTGTCCTACAAAAGAATGCACTTTAGGCACTGTTTCGATTATCCTTACACATTAACTGCATTCATTTTTATATATGAATTGAATATACTATCTTGCAGATTAAAAATACACTTTTTGGGTCAGTCATACAGTGAAAGATGTTCTTTCACTTTAATGAGAAACTTCCTCTGTTGTCTTATGTATCGCATGAGATCAAAACCAGCTGTACAGTCTGACCAGAGGTCCATATGGTGCAGTATCTAACAATGATCAAAAGTCCAGCCCTCAGACATTTGTGATTCAAGGATATCATGAGCCAAATACAGTCCTTTCTATTCAGGAATCCTCAGCTGACCCCTCTTCCTTGAATTTTTCCTGTCTCCTCTTCAACTGTGTAAACTTCTGGCCTTGCAACACCCCGGGCTGTGAGTCCCACAGACTGACTACAAAGGAACGGCCACCTCCTTTCCTTTTGGAAGCTGAGTCCTATCAGCCTCATTCCATGTGCCGCAGTTCTAGTGTTGGATGAGACAGTTGAGCATCTGATCCTCTCTTGATTTTCACTGCTGCAGGGTGGTTTGATAGTTCTCTTCTGTACTCCCCTACCCACCTCACCCCTAACCCCCAATTTGTCAGCTTTCTAAAGTGAAGAGCTACAGATTATTTTATTATTCCTTGTTTGGAATCTGTTTCATGTCTGGTGCTGGTATTTGTGGCATTACGTCTTACGTGTTTTGTGGGTGTGGTGTGAAGAGGATGTGCTTTGGTTATGCATGAACTTGTGTTTTGGGAGGGAAGATACTGCTTTCCAGAAGTGACAGAAATTTTAGTGTCTGAGTAGCGTAGAAAGAACAGGAATGGCAGGATACATGTGTGGGGAACGGATGAGAGGGTATAGTGGGGAAATGAGCTTCTAAGAAAAACAGATAATGGAAAGAAGGAACAAGTTTGGTGCCTGTGAAAGAAAGTGAAAATTAATATCTAGGTGATCTAATAGTAATACTGATATAAAATGAAGATCTATATGCCTGATGGCTTTATACAAATAATAAAGCAATGTCTTCTGAAATAACTGCATGCATTAGTGATGTCACAGACAGGGGGGAAGCTGCATTAAAGGTATTTTAAGTTTGCTGTTAGTTGACTGTTTGGTTTCCTTCATTTCCCAGAAGGAGAAGAACTCATGGTCCAGCCTGTCTTGGCCCTTGATGTCTCTGGAGTACAGTTTCCCTTGTTGTCCAACTGTGTTAATACTGCCCTTGCTGTGCTTGGCACCTACAAGTAAACTTCTCTTTGGGAATTATGCCTAATGGCTGTTTAGTGCAAAAACACACATATTGCTTATTTACTTTTGTAGGTATAGCAGGCGGGGAACATGGAGGGGAAAAACTTTTGAAGGGAACATCTTGTTTTATCCTATTCTAGTGTTTTATCCTTTTCTTAGAAGTTCTTGATCTCTCTAGCCTCTGCTGCCTTTACTTCCACTGCTGCTGCCTCAGTTCACTTCCTCTGATAGCTAAGGGCACTTGGCACCCTTTGGCACTCAGATTCAGGTGCCTGATTCTTGAAAACAATTTTATTTTAAAACCTAGGTCCAATCTACAGCCCTCACAGTCATTTGTACGGGTAGCAAAATGGCTATTCACTGAAGTACTATGTATTATTGCATGCAAATCAGGGTTGCAAAACTGAGTTTGTCCTTGTAGAAGCATTGCAAATATGGAAAATTATTTCAGTGCTTGTAATTATTTGAGGATTAGTCACTCCATAATTAGAAAGTGAAAAGTTAAGCTTCTGTCCATAGTTTTTGCAGTAGAGAATTACAAGCCATAAGTAAAATAAATCGAGTTCCAGTTGAAGTTGTTATCAACCAGTCTTGTGATTGCTTTCTCTGGTACATGCAAATTAATTACAGCTAAGAGCCTTCCAGAAATCTCATGCTGGCACCTTGTCAGCTCTTATATGTTCTACTTGTGGCCACTAGATTTTAGTTGTGAGGTGCTGAGCACCTTCTATGGATTCCTCAGCAATCCCAGATATGTGTCAGAGTAGCTGAAGGAGTTCGTTTTCTTACGTGATGGGATTTGTAACAATAACAATGTTCTGGCTGTTTTGTGAGCTGAGGAACTGAAATGGACCTCTGTTGACAACTACTGCTGCATTTCTTAAGCTCTCTGTACTTAATTTTTTTATTTCTGTGTCTGTATGCAGCTGTAGACATCTCTCGGGGAAAAGTCTGGAATGTATTTTCATTAATGGTCCAATTTTCCAAGAGCATTTTTTTCTAACTCGTTACATCTGCATCCATGATAGTTTTCATATACAGGACTTCTATTAAGCTTCATGAAAAATAAGTAAAGCAATATGAGAAACATTTGCAATCCTAAATGCTTAAACTTTAGAATTTAATCTTCTTTTCATTGCTTATGTTGTTTAAATACATTATTATGTATTCATCATAATAATGATAATAATAAAACCCTGTTCCTGTTTTTATCCCTGCCGGTAAGGAAGCCTGGGGATGTTAGCATTGGGGTACCTGTCTCACTTTTGGATACAGGCAGCTGGACCAAACTCGTTGCTCAAAAGGGAGAGAATTAACTTGGGTTTACCCTCTTTTTCTTTTCACACATTTGCTGTTTTTTTCTGTGGAAGCAGCTGGTGTGCCAGCTCATAAGGTAACTTGGTGCTTGTTGTTCAGTGTTGCCTTTGTTTATGTCACAGAAAATTAGGTGTCCAAATCATTTTACTTTTGCTGGACAGAAAAGTCTTTGTTGTGCAACTGGAATGGCTCCACAGGAATCTGTCCTCATGAGTGAGGAATGTGACAAAAGCAAAACAGTGTCAACTTTGCTCTCCCTCCTGGTATCGGGGACTACTCTTTTGATTGTCTGGCATGATAGAGAGCATGGCATGGACTAATGTTGAGCAATGCAACCTCTTTAATCAGTTTGCACAGGACTTATTTAATCTGGTTTTGTGGCAGTCAGTTACAGGTATTTGTGCAAAGTGGACATTCATTATAATTAGTGATTATGCCAGTCCCAAGGAATTTAACTAGGAATCCTGCCAAAACTTGTTGGGACTATGAACTGTTCTTATTAACATGTTTATACATTTAGGCAACCTCTTGGTAGGTGCAAACGTGTTTGACCTGTATGGCATTTCAACACAACATACTCATTTGTAGCTTATGTTCACAGTGCACAGGAGCAGAGCAAAGATGCTATCAGAGAATGGAAGTACATTGGGTTTTAATGCAGTTTGATCGCTGTGCTCTCTCTGACTTCAAAGAGGGGAACATAAAAGGAGTAGTTCCTGACCCCCACTGCAACAAAGAAGAAATCATCTTGTGATGTCTCCTTCTACTGGCATGTACTTATGCTGTACATCTGCAAACACTCCTCTGTCTTTGTGCACTCTTCTGTGCACTTCATTAAGTGATAATAGATTTTTCAGTAGAATTTTTCTTTGTAATGAATTTTATCAATTTTGGGGAAGGACTGATCTAAATTAAACTTTTTTCTTTGAAAGATTTTTTTTGGCAAACTCATTAATTCTGTGAGTGTTTACACACTGGCATCCAAATTAGTTTTCAGACTTACCAGTCCCTGTAAAGACATACTTGTACTCTGCCCATATGCATACATACTGTAAATCAATAACATCTAGCCTCTGCCTTTATTTTCTGGCTCTTCATCTGAGCCAGAGCTTTTCCTTTGTGATTTTTTAAAACTGATTTTTAAGTGTACCACTAACAACCCAGTTGTCTTTCTTGAGTGTTTTCTTCCCTTGACTGGAAAAGATGTCACCTGAGGCTTCTAGGTATAAGCTTTGCTCCTTTTGTTGGAGCACTAAAATATAAGAAAATTTATTGGGAAAGGGGGAAGTAACCTTAAATCAGCACTGATAAAGAATTGAGCACAAGATCCCAGGGATGATCCTGAGGCTGGCTGCTAGGATACTGACCTCTCCCCCCATGACTGCCACCTTTTGAAATCTGAGCCATCACCATGCAAAGTCCTAGGCTGCTGCTGAAAGGTTTCAGAGGGAAAAAAAAAAAAAAAGAAAGAAAGAAAAAAAGAAATACCAATCAGCTGCCTCACTTCTGTATCAGCCAAATTCAGAGGCAACTGCAGTAGCTGCTTTGGGTAGGTGGGGCTGCCCCAGGACTCCCTTGCCATAGTTTGTAGCTCCAAGTGACACAGCTATTTAATGTAAGCCTGTCCCCCTCTTATTACTCCCTTTATTTAATGAGTTATTCTAACAGACTGCAGTGAGCCTCAGGAAGGCCTGACCAGCGCATCCTCTGTCTGGAGTTACAAATACGAAGTTAAGTACTAAAGGCGATTCTTTGCCACCTGAGAGAGAGGATTTGATTGTTCCACCTATTCCCCAGCTGCAATCTTTACTCCTTTATAGCCTGAAACTCAGAAGTGTCAACATAGGTGCTAATTACATTGCAAGAACCCGCCTTCTTCCTCCAAATCAATAGCAGGAGGACTTAATTAAGTTCACTTTGGCTGTGATGGCGTACAGACTGACGTAGCCCATTTGCCTCCTATAGGTGCAGAATTGTCCTCTGCATGCACTGGGGATGTATTGATGTATTACTGCACTAGGACTAATTTTCTATATTTGACATTATTTACCTATCTATCTGTCACCAAGAACTCCCTGTTTTAAGTTCAACAAACTGGATAGTTCAGCTTCACTTTTGTAGTGCTTCATCTTTCTTGGGGCAGCATGATTAAAAACACACCCAGAAGATCTAAGAGCTTCACTAATTTTTTTCCTTTCTTCCTTGTTCCCTTCTTCAGCGTCTGTCTGTATTGTTGCCTGAAATTAAGTTGTAACAGATTTTGGATGTAGGTTGGCCTTTGCTATTCAGTTTTGTTTTCTACTATACTCCACTGACTTAGTCGACAACATTTGTCACTATTCAAGGGATTTTTTCCACAAGACTGTTCAGATTTGAGCAGCTTCACTTAGGGTTTTTTTTTTTTTACAATATGAGTGTGCATGTGTGCAAACACTCAAAAGAAGAAGATTTCTCACTAGTAACTGCACTTTCTTTGATGTGTGATATCTTTGTGTAGACTTATAATCCACCTCCTCTTTCCTTTTGCCTCAGTACCATGTTAAAATTTTATTTTCTGAGGTTGGGAGGAAGGGCTGGTGTAGGGTGCCATCTGACCTGTTACGCTCTGCTAGGATAAAGACAAGGGTGAAACAGGCACACATACATCCTTGCAGGAGGTGGTCAGGCTAGGAAGAATCAGGTTCAAAAGTTTAGATGTATGTGCACTGTAGAAAAAGCCCGCATATGTATGACCTGTCTTTCAGGACTTCCAGCTACCGGTCAGCAGCCTTCCTCTAAATCTGGAAACCTTTCAATTGTCCTTGATGACAATTTAGCATACATTTTAGTCTAATGCAAGTTAGGCATCAATACTTTTTAACAATTTTCTATATTATAGTAATATTTATTATATTACTAGTGTATTTAGCTCTGTTTTGATTTTTCCATAGTTTGCAAGAAGAAAAAAGGCTTCTGGAAAATGAATACAAAAGACTTCCAAGAAAAAGGGTAAGTACAAAATATGAGAAAAGCCATGTTTTGTGTTCTGCCAGCTAACATATAAATACACCAGTGAAAATGTTTCTACAGTGTGTGTAGCTCCAGAGTTTGGTTAAAATCTGGAATACACAGGAAAACCAAGAGCTAGACTTTATATGAGAGGAAGAGTCTTTCTAGTTATCATTCAGCTTTGATAATTCTAGGGCAAACAATTAATAACTGGTTCAGAAAAGACCTGAGTTTTCCTTGTTTTTTTTACTGTGTTCATCAAGTGGATACTGGATGTAAAGGTAGCTTCAGGTTTTTGGTTCTAGGTCCTTAGTACTGAAAACAGATTTGCAGTCATAAGTTCTGAGGGATGTATGTGTTCTTGTTGGAAATAAAATTCTGCTGGTTACTGATAGAAGAAACACACGTGTGTTAAAAATTTCTATTCCAAACCTTGTAAAAAATGTTATCACCATTCAGTGTTAATGATTCTGTAATATCACAAACCTGCAAAATGTAAAAGGGAAAATAAGATTAATCTTATTTTTGGCTTAATTTTTAAAGGGAGCAGAAAAGAAAATTAAACAGTTGAAAGAAAATTGTGATGAGCTCTGCAAAGAAGTAATGCAAAGGAAAGCAGAAATTAATGCAATAAAGGAAGATGTTTCATCCAAGCAACGGCTGATGTTAATACATCAGGAAGAAACAGAAAAGCTTCTGGAGAAGCAGGCTAATTTAAAAGTAACACAAAATTAGCTGTGTGTATGTGGATCTCTGTATGTGTGCATGTATGTGTAAATGGTGCATGCTTTGTCCAAGGAAATGAATCCTCTAGATGGTTTTTGTCATTCCAAATTCATTAGATGGCAATACATCATTTTTCAATATGCATGAAACGTGCTGCTGTGCCATATCCATTATTATTCCATTAGGAAACAATAATAGTCATTGTTTTGATTGAAAAGTGGTTTCTATAACGATATTTTCTATGGTGTGTTATTGCAGACTGCTCTAACATATGCTCAGATCCGAGTTAACAGGGATGCATGCTGAGAATGAAACAACATACCCGAGTCTTGGGTGCTTTTTTTTCCCATGGTATAGATAACATAATCAGATGTATTCATTATAATCAAATGTAATTTTTATCTTGCAGATGTAATGAAACTGTAAATATCAATGCTTAGTTTCAAAAGTAGCAGCTATAATTCCCTGAGATCAGCTCAAGTAATTTAAAAATGTTTTCTTCCTATTTTCACAGCAGTTCTGGGCGAATATTACTTCTATAAAATCTCATCAGATTTTGAGGCTATTCATCTAACCTTTCTGTTTTGTCACTAGGATGAGCTAGTTAAGATTCTTGGTATTCCAGCACAGCTTGGAAAAGAAACTGAAAGGATGAATCGGAAAAAAATGTATGGCTTTCATAAATAATTATATATGCAGAAATGTGGATGTATGACTTACTTTCATCTGTTTGTTACAGAGAAGACTGAATACAGTCATTGGTTAAAATGAGGACCAACATTAAGAAAAAGCCTATAACCCACTTAAAATCCATGCACTGTACTGAAAAATACTTTATATGCAGTGAAACGTGGTACATTTAAGTACAACAAAGAAAAATTTAGAACAAAGCTCAGTCAAAAATTGCTTATCCTTCTTACTGTGATGCATTGCTCTATATCAGATCTCTTAGTAGATTTTTTAGTGGAAAATAATGTTACTGTGTACTCTAGACTTTTAGTCCCCAGTGACTGTACATTAGCTTATCTCTACTGACCTCAGTGAAACTAGCAGCTTTCACAGCCAACAGTCTCGTCTGAGCTAAATAATCAATTTCCCTCAATGCTTCTGTACCAGCTCTTTAGTCAGAGGTGCTTTGCTCTAAGCTCCTGATGTGAATTCTGGTCCCTAATATTTCAACAGGGACAATGTAAGTCAGTGGCCAGCCTTTTCTTTCTCCCTCTCTTTGTCTATTTGTGTTTTTTCTCCCCTGGTGCACGGGATGTGTTGCCTTCTGTATGTGTAAAATCTAATTAGCACTGTGCAGTTTCAGCCAGGTCAGTCACAGATCCTGGCAGTCCAATTGCTGTCCAGATAAACAATGTGTTTTATACCCTGTTCAGGCCCAAGGTTACACTGAAGTTTTTTGTGTCTCCTGCTTGCAGTTCCTACTTGTAATATAGAAATTATTTGACTATATTATATTTTTCAGTTTAAAAATTTGTATGGTGGTTTTCTTAATTTTCCTCACTACTCAGTTTGATATAATTCTGACCTCATATAGATGAGAAGTTTTTCCTGTAGTGTTACAGTGACACAATTAAAAGAATCTAGTACCTTGTGTAGATTGCTGTTAATGAAGTATTTAAATTAGTCTTTATACTTGTGTCACATCACAGAATGAGCCAAAGGAGTTTAGAAGTGTCACACCCATGTACGTGGTAATGTGGACAGAAATTAGTTTACTAGAACTCTTTTAAATACTGTCACGGTGCTAAACTCCCTGTTAGTCCCCTGACTCCCTGTTAGTCCCCACACATGTTTGTGTGTCCATAAAATCTGGCAACTTATATTTTGTCACTTAAATATGCCTGTGGAAATGTAACCCCTCCTGTTTCATTAACATATACCCACAGTGATGCAGAGAAGAAGAAAGAAGCTCTTAATGAGCAAATAGAAGAGCTGAATGGTGCTCTGAAGGCCATTGAGAAAAGTACAGAAGAGATTTTGCAAGAAAGAGAAGATGTAGTGAAGGAATTGGATGGGAAACAGATTTTGCTAGAAAGCAAAGAACAAGAACGCATTGCTCTGACAAAATTACTAAATATTAACAGAGAGAAGGAATCAGCAGTCCTATCAGACAGGTTAGAATAGGAGACATAAGCTATGTAGTGTGAGTGAAAAATCCTCTATTCTCAAAGATCTGTTTGGGTTTCTTTTTCTGCTGTATTGCTTATGTTTTCAATTTTTATACTGCAACCAGCACAGAGTAAAAATTATCAAGCTTGGTTTTGACTTCAGAAATGTTTTTATAAACTATTACAATCTAGGATTTGGCTTGAAGAAGAACATCAAAAAGGTTAAGCATTTGATAAAATTCTGAAAGGGAAATCTTTTAGAAGGTTTCTCTCTGCAGTGAAAATATATTTTTTTCTACGTAACCCACAGAAACTAAACTGAACAAGAAAAATGTGTCAGTATTTTCATTTTCAAATGTAATAGATTTCTGCACCCACTGAATCAAGCATGGATTTCTGTGCTTGATCTATTAATCTATTTCTGCACCCACATGCTCCTGAATTTCCATGGGAACTGGTTACTCATCTCTTTAATATTCTATTGAATTGTGAGTGCTTATATACTTGGTAAAGTAAAAAAAAATGTTAGGTGGATTGCAGGCTTCAAATGGTTCCTTCTTTGTGGAGGAAGATGTGTAGTTGTAATCATGACCACAGGCACAATGCTTTTGCCTTTAAAGTTTTGTGTTAAAGGATAATGGCACTTTAAATTGAAATGTTTGAGTGCAGCAAACATGTAAATACTCACTCATACTAAAAAATGTGTTTCCTTCTTATTATTATATGTAATAGTTTTTTTGGAATTCTTAGCACATTCAGAAGAGACTGTGAGACCTCATTGATATAATATAGGTGTATTATAATTGATTAAAATTATAAAAATGCTGTACTTTTAGGGAATTTGTGTCAGTGGCCATTGTGCTCAGCCATAATGGTGCAGTATTCAAAAGCCCTTAAAATGATCATGACTGTTTGTATACATGTCTTGGCCATGTTACCTGTTCCTAACATTCTATGTCTGTCTATATAGAGAAGCTCTGGAAGAGAACTTAAATAAATGTATCTTGGAGAAAAAAAAGCAACAAGATATTCTCCTTCACAAGCAAACACAGAAAGACAGAGAACTGAGAAATTTTAAAAGAAGTTGTTACAACTGAATATGATTTATGATTCCTTGGAACAAGATAAGTCACAGCATAATAGACTCAAATTAGAGGTCTGTATGAATGCATTTATCAGAAGGATTCTATATTTTCATGTAAGAAATGTGTCTATGAAATATTTTGACTGATTCCACAACAGGAGGAAGAGGAGAAGACTGTTTTAAGTCTTATGCACATAAAAGTGCCAAGTGTGTTGCTACAACTAAGAAAGAAACCTCTGGGAGCTCTGGCTGAGGTTAAAATACGACATCAAGATATATTTGGACTATTTTTAAGAAACAGATTTTAGGTGAAAACATCTGGTCAGGGAGAGCTGGGATATTATATCAGCACTCTGGAGTCAGGTCTTCCTTCAAAGCGCTGTGGAATTGGGGTCATTTCTGAGCAAAATAATATAGTGCCTTGCCCACCAGCATCAAAGAAATTTCTACCAGAAAAACAAGTACTCCCTGGCTCCCAAATGATGAAAATACACTTCTTTTAAAAATTTGTGGGTTGTTTGTACCTTACTGTAAATAATTTATAATGTATTTGACATTATTCCAGGGGACAGGAAATTAGCACTATATAAAGTTTGGTATTAATTAATATTAAATAATTCCTCGTGTTCTCATTTTTTCCACTCAAATTTCACCTTCCTGATCTTCTCTCTGCATTAGTATTTTACTCATTCCTGTTCCCATACTGATTTACTCTTTTCTGTTTTATTTATGCCTTCTACTAGGCTGGTTTTAAAGGACAATCTCATTCTGCTTGTCTATGCAAAACATTTCTTTCCTTTCTTTTCTCCTTCCAATTTTCTTAAAAATTTACTTTGTCTGTAACTTTTTCATGTTCTCTTCCTCTTATCACTGTTTTTTCCACTCTTTCTTTCTCAAGCTTTTCTCCTTTGCTAGCTCCTTCTTAGTCTAAATTATAATCAATCTTATAAAATTAATCTTGCTTAATCGGGTATTTTTTTCACAGAACTTGGTGTTTCTTATCTTGACACAATGTCCTTGAAATTTTCCTTGGTCTTTCCAAGCAATTCAGGGCAGAAAAAAGATCCTAGGTACATGACTGTAAATGTTTCTAAAATAACTATGCGATGTCAAAGCTCATACATACTCTAGCGTTGCTATTTAAACAACTCTAAACATTACTCAATAATATTTAATATTGTTAAATAATACTTTCTTTTTTCCTGTCTCCCCTGAAATTCCTCCTGAATTCATGTGTGTATTAATTACCTAGTCATATGAGCCCACCTGTGGGAGGGAGGAAAACTCTATAACTATACAAAATGTTTTAGATTTAATTTTCTGAAATATTGATTAAAGGGATGATTCATATTCCAGACTTTGATCTTAAAGTTCATAATGAGTTTCTGTTCAGTATCAGCTAAGAGAATCTGGGAAATGGTACTTTTTCCTGTGTTTCTATTGAAGAAATATTCCTAGAGGAAGAACCACAATTATTAAAACCATGTAATGCTAAAATCAAATGCCATAACTCACCAACAGCTGTGGTTAGAGTTCACAATCCTGGGTGAGATCCAAACCCAACCCAACCCCTTCACACTGTGACAGGGCAAGGGCCTGTAATGAGATCCTTTGCATTGCAAAGGTTTCCCTCAGTGCTGACACTAGGTTGTCCTATAGGCTTGTATGTGTCTTGCAAGTAGCATCATCATGAAGAGTGGGGGAAAGGGAATGCCAGCAGAAAGAGCAGTGGAATTCTAAGCAGTATTTTAGTCCAGAAGTTGCAGGTTGTTACCCTAACACAAACACGACATGGCAATATGGTTATTTTAGCCCATCCTCTCATGCTCTGTGTTTTCTCTGGTTCCTTTCTTGGCTCTTTTAGAAGAGCAAATGTGAAATCACCACTCCTTTGCAGTCTGCCTGGTTTGAGTGCAGTACTGGAGTATGAAAGACCAGAGTGGCAAGCTTGATTCTGCTTGGCTTTTGGTACCTTGAGTTTATTTTAATCAGGAAGACTTGGGGGCACATCTAGGAAAAGTTAAAATATTTAAAATAGCTGAAGATCCTTTAACTGATTAAAAAAACAGATCTACATTTATTTATTGTGATTCCAACTGAAATATTCACAAGAATTAGCTGCTAGTATAAAAACGTGATGGGAGAGGCAGCAATACATCAGTGTGGTTCCCCAGATTTCCTCTTACTTCAAATCACATGCTAAGTGCAGAATGGCTGGTTTCTAGAATAAGGAAATTACAGGAACACTTCCTTCAGATGTGTTTTTCTTCTTAGTAAGTTGTGAAAGGTCAGCTATTGCTCAACACTGACCCTGTGTGTGAAAGAGAACTGGGCGCTCAGGCGGCCGCCAGCCCAGGCAGACCTGCTGCTGCTCCCCATGCACGTCCCCCCTCTGGTCAGGCCAACCCAGGCAGCCAAGGGAGCCTGCTCAGTCATGTCTGATCTGAACAGAAGTCCTTAATGGATTAAAGACGTTTATATGGGCTTTCTACTTTTAGACTCAAGAACTTGGTGGCATCTTTAGAATCCCATCTCGAAAATGTGGAAGTGCCTACTTAGAGACACTACAGCCTTTTACACAGCAGAAGTGGTAACTAATACGTGCTCCACAGAAAAGCCATGTTTGCTCCCTCCACGAGAGTGAAAGTAACTGGCTTAAATAGGTTTTACTGACCCTTTAGCAAACCTAACTCAAATCAAATCTCAGAGTTGGCAGCTGAAACCAAAGTAACCCCACAGTTTGACCTTTGCCATGGCTCCTTTTTCCCTTTCCCTTAACACAAGTGAACAACATCTAATTGTATAATATTAACACAGAATTGAAAACCCTAAGTGCAAAACATCTCATTATCTGTGTTGAGGTATATAGTGTTTTGAACTCTAACATCTGGATGAGACCTGAGAAAAACGTGTGTATTATTTTTTAATAGCTTCCAGATGTGTCATTCAGTGTAATTTTTTCCCCACCTGTGTGACTTACAGATCTGTAATTACAGACAGGCAACATATGCCTGTGTATTTTAGTTTGCTTTATTTATTTCTTACTTATTTAGAACAGTAAATAATTTTTAAGTGAAGTTGGTCGTTGTGAGAACAATGCAACCTTTTGCCTTACAAATTATATCATGCAAGGATTGCTAGTCAGAGGGTAGGTTCTTGTGTCTTCCCACACACACACAATTTAAAAATATGATTCAATAAACAAATTTTCCCATAACGTACAAGGAAAAAATAGTACACAGCTGTTTGTTTTGTTAGTTTTTACATCTAGAGCCTGAGGAGGGAAAAAGAAAATCTTTTTTTTATTATATCAAATCTACACAGATGTGAAATACAGGCTGTATTAAAATCAGTGGTAGGTCTATTTGTTTCTTTCAGTAAGGTCAGAATCTCACTCAGAAATTCCTCTGTCAATTTAGAAGGTGACACCTTTGCATAGGTTCTCTTTGTGATTTTTGCTTTTTTTTGATGACAGTTTAGTGCTGAAAAACATAATCCTTATTAATTCAGTACTTAAACTGGGCTTTGTGAATTTCAGGGTTTATAGTTAGATTCTTAAGAGAAAACTTTGAGAAACTTGCATGTGTTGCTGAGAAACTTTACTCAACAAAGAATTCTTCGACTAACTATTGTAACAAGACAGAAAATTAATTTCTTAATTTGTGTAACCACTTCAAATAGGTTATCTGCAGTTTACATTTTTCACATCTGTGGTTTGCATCACTCAGTGTGCTTGGTTTATTTTTGTAGGCAGAAGCTATCCCTAGAAATAATGGTGCATTATTAGAAAGACGGCAAGAAGGAAGTTGAGATGACCAAGAGAAGCTTAGCTGAACAGGTGATGAGTGCTGCCTTCTCTTGTTTTCACTGTAGCAGTTGGTTTTCAATGATGAGGATAAAGGGACTGTTTGAATACAAAAAA